CCAGAAAGAACTTCGAGCACCAGAAGAATACCCCAAAACTCGAAGGTTTTCGCGTGTCGGGCCCTGGGAGACACTTGTCCGACACTGTCTCGATACTCTTTCGACACTTTTCCAGAAGCTCGAAATTATTTCTGGGCTGTGGTCCTGAAGTCCGATAGGAGCAACATACATGCAGAGCTCCATTCGTGATTTTTTGTCCGATGCTGCATTCTTTCGCATCGTCGGATCTCGGGGTGTCCCCATCCCCACTTGGCCAAGGTCTCTCAGCCCCACCAACCCACCCTCCCAGATAGGGATAGGCCCTGCCAAACCCGGCGGAGCACACGCATAGCATCCCCACATGGCCAACCAGTGGGGATACGGGGTCGGTTGAACGGTGCTCAGAGGCCCCGGCGGTGCCGCGGGCCAAGTGCCGCGGGTTCGAGCAGCAGTGGCACGATTGCGGGGAGCTGCCCGAGTGCCACCCGTGCGTGCCACAGGACCGGGGCCCTCCCTTCGGCACCATCGCTCCGATGGGACATCGACTCCGGCCGGCTCGACCCGATCGGGTTCCGCAGTTCCTCCGATGCGATGCGACCCGATGCCTCTTGGCGCAGCCGATTCGATTTGGTTTCGACTCCGTGTCGACGAGGCCCGATCCGATGCACGTGTCGATTCAATCCGACTTACCGATTCGATGCTGATGGACTCTGCCCCCTAAGTTTGCGTTCGCCAGACAGCCCTGGGCGTTCACCAAACAGCCTTGCCCTGTTCGATCCCCTCCCTGGGGTGCGCTTGCCAGAGATCGCTTCGCTGGCACGCGGGCTAATGATAAGGGTGGCCCTTTTGCCTTGCAATGTTAAGTTGGGCATGTCTCTCTACAGGAGGAATGTTCAAAACTGGTTGAACAAACAGTCTGGGGACGATTTGTTGATTATTGAATCGCTTCGCTCATCCCGCCGGCCCATATTGCGTTTGGGAGCCTCTTTGGGTCCTCCAGGGGGCCTCTTGTGGGGTTGTCTCTTTGAGGGCTCTTGGCGGCCTCTTGGAGCCTCTTGGGGGTCTTTGGGGCTTCTTGGGGCCTCCTGGGCGCTTCTTGTGGCCGAGGGCTCGAAATGTCCGTTCGGGTTCCACGTCTGGCCCCCTCTTGAGTCTGGGGACGATTTGTTGATTATTTCCCAACCATCCTGTGGTGTCGGGTCCTCGTTTTGAAGAGACGGTCCCCGCGTTCACTCCTCCTCCTCCCGCTGCCCCCTCCTCCATCCTCCCTCCTTCCATCTCTGCCTCTGCCCTTCGCATGCCTGTGTTTCGGCGCACCCAGTGCGACGCTTCGTCGTGGCCCCGTAGGGAGCTCCACCGAAGGCCCCAGCGGCAGGGTCCACATGGCGGCGCCGCCCGATTTTGGCGCACCCTTCAGACGGTCCGTGAACTCAGAGGAGATGGCCTCCGAGAGGCCCGAGGAGAGACGACGACGACACTCTGAGTTGGTGAGCAGGCTGTGCCAGGCTGCCCTGAGAGCCCAGGAGACCTCCGCGCCTCCTCCGCTTTTGGATTCCCCCGCTCCTCCCCCTCCTCCTCCGCCGCCGAATGAGTCGCGTAGCTCGTGGGGGAGCCGTCCGCGGAATTCGAGGCCTCCGAGGAGGCCTGCCTCGGTGCCAGGAACCCGTGCAGCCTCGAGTCAGACAGTTTCGGTCAGACTCCACAGGCGTTTAGGGTTTTCCGCGAGCTGGAGCACGGCCAATCATGACGCTGCTCTTAGGCTTGTGTTGGGCGCGTCGCGGCAGTGACTGTGAGAAGATGCGCGCCGCGAGATGCATGGTCGCGCATCGCATGCGTATGCTCGGGCGTAACCCGATCCTAGAAGCATTCGTGGGCGTGGGATCGACAGCACCGCCTCCGATGGGTTCGCAATCGTATTCGTATGATGAAAAGGATGAAGATGATGGTGCTGTTGATGATGCTGATGCTGATGATGATGATGGTGCTGATGATGATGATGATGATGACGAGGTGTTGGTGATATGAATAATAATGATGACGATGGTGATGATAACGGCCTTGAAGAAGATGATGCTGGTGAACCTGATACGGATGCTGATGCTTGTGCTAATGTTGCTGATGATGTTGACGCTGATGGTGATGATGCTGTTTGTGGTGATGATCATAGTGGTGATGGTGATGCTGATGATGACGATGGACATGATGACGATGATAATGATGATGATGACGATGGCGATGGCGATGGCGATGATAATGATGATGGCGGCGTTGAAGGAGAAGATGACGTAGTGAGGACGAGCTTGAAGATACCATGGGATACGAAATTGCCGACCTCAATGGAGCGGGGTACACATGAGGATGTGGAGTTGAAGAGATGATGATGATATGATGAGGATATGCATGAGGTAGTTGATTGTTGTGAGGTGATGATGATGATGATGATGCTGATGCGATGGAGGAGGAGAGGGAGGAGGAGAAGAAGAAGAAGAAGAAGCGCGCACCTTCGGCCCGGAGGCCGTCCCGTGAAGGGAGGCGCGTGGGGCCCCAGCCCCTCAGATGTGCGTGTCCAACCAGCGCTTCCGGGGCCCGCTTGGGCGCCTGACCAGGTCCACGGGCTCCCACGTGTATACGCGGCGCGCCCAGGACTGTTCGTCCCCGCGCATGCGGCCGAGCCACGCCTTTGCAGCATCCCTGTGTGAATTGACCCAGTCATGTAAGCGAAGCTGCTGTGCTCGATCATCTGCTTCCCGTGTCGCACGCTTGATCCAGTCAACCCAGGGCTCCAGCTCGTTATCTGGTTCGACCGGGACAGTTCCCCCGGGCTCAGCAAAGGACCGCAAAGAAATCGACGAAGAAAAACAAGAAATACAACCATGCTTGGTCACTGGGCCCCGCGGCAGAGCATGCCTCTGCACGCGCCGCCGGCTGCCGATAATCATCCTGATCATTTTGCGCTGCGTCCGTTTCAACTTATATTCCAATTCTTTTGGCAGAGCATGCCTCTGCACGCGCCGCCGGCTGCCGATAATCATCCTGATCATTTTGCGCTGCGTCCGTTTCAACTTATATTCCAATTCTTTTGTAAGCACCCAGGCCGCGCTTCCGTACAGCAGCGTTGCAGACACCGTGCTGTCGAAGAGGCGGAGCCGTGAATTCAGAGAATACCTTTTGTTTGTTAGCTCTGCCCGTTGGCTCATAAAGCGCTTCCATGCCATCTCGATTCTATGGTCAATCTCTACGTGCGGGCGGTCGAAGCAGACCTGCCTTCCCAAATACTTCACTGAACTCTCATAAGGCACAATATCTATTACCATGCCCCCAACTTGAACAGATGCTTGTTTCGGCCGGCCACTTCCCCGAGTCGTGTTGCTGAGGATGTTTGTCTTCTCCGGGTGGATCTCCAGCCCGCGCCGTAATGCCGCCGAGCGCAAATCCGACAGCATCAGTTTGATTTGGCGAAGTGTGGTCGAGATAAGCATCACATCGTCCGCAAAGCGCAAGTTTGTCAGCCTCCACTCAGGCGTCGCCCCCAGCGGCAAGCCCCACTTCTTTTTTCACCCACGCATCCTTTACGTCCGGAACACGTCTTCTTAAACAGCATTGAACAAGAGCGTGCTGAGGGGGTCGCCCTGCTTCGTCCCACGCAAAATGTGATATGGCTTACTAGATTTATCCGTGCGAACCTGGGCCGTCTGATCGGTATACAACGTCCGCAACAAGCGTACGTAACCTCCAGGAACTCCCTGCTTGGACAGCGCTTGCCATAGACCTTCGTGCTCCACGCAGTCGAAGGCTTTCTTGAAATCAATTGCGGCCACCCGCAGATTCTGCTGCCATTCGTGGCACTTCTCCTGGAGCAGCGTGACAGCGAAAAGATGATGCGTCGTGCTGACATTCTGCCGGAAACCCGCCTGATCGATACTTTGGTGCTGGTCGAGAACAGGATAGAGTCTAGCATATAATAACTTTGCAAAGAGTTTGTATAATAACGGTATAATCGTGATTGGCCTGTACTTTTTGGCCAAGGACGGATCACCACTTTTAAAAATCACGCTGACAACAGATTCCTTCCAAGCCCTTGGTGGCGGTCTGTCTTCTGATACGATTGCGTTGAAAAGCTGCAGCAGCAATTTCTCCGTTGATTCCCCCCCGCGCTTTATCATCTCTGCAAGAAAGCCGTTGGCATCACAGCATTTGCCACCTTCCAAGCTCTTGATGCCCGTGCGTAGCTCGTCAACAGTGAATGCAGGCATATCGCCACCGGGCGCGTCCGTGGCCACCGCGCTGGCAAAGCCTTCAGTACTTGAGTGATACAGCTTTGCATAAAAATCTGCGAATACATCAGCAATTGACTGCCTGTCTTCGTGCAAACCCCCGTTGTCGTCGTTCATATGGGTGATCAAGCGTTTCTTCTTGTGTGTTTTCAGCTTGGTGATCTGCTTCAAGCCTCTGAAAGAACTCAATACTGAATCGATTCTGTCCGACGCCCTGGCTCGCCTGAGTGCCCGGATTTCCTTGTTGATTTGTTTACTGATTGTAGCTCTGTCCGTCGCGCACGAATGATGTAAACTCTTTCTCTGGGCAATCAACCGACGCAGCTTCGCGTCGTCATCGTTGTCCTCCGCGCAGGAGTCCCGATTGACCTGGGCATTCACAGCGGACTCGACCAGGAGAGTTTCGATTTGCCGACATGCCTCGCCGGGGTCCGGGGACAAGCTGACAGCGCCGGCACCGATTTCGAGCGTCTGCACATATGCTTCCTCGCACACGCAGGACCAATCGACTGTCTGACGCTTCTTGGCAGATTTCTTCTTCCTCCTCGAAGGCCTGTCAACAACGCGCAATTTCAAGTGCACTGCTTTGTGATCACTGCCCAGGTCTAGTGCAAGGTCGGTGCATGAGTCCAGTACGTGTGAAAACAATCGAAAGTCCACAAGTATGTAATCGATTTGCCGTTGCGAACCGGCGGGAGGAGCAGGAGGAGGAGGAGAAGGAGGAGGAGGAGGAGGAGGAGGAGGAAG